CAGAAAGCCGAAGAATCAATGGGTGTTCCTAACTCCTCAGGCATTCCAACTTCAGGAATAGTGCAGCAACCTTATTTTTCAGGTATATCTCGTTAATATTAAATCAACATTAAATACAGTTTAATGTAAGGAACGTTTAGAAAGATACGTAAATCCAGACAGCTCCTCATCAGGGCTTGGATGGAATGATCCTCCACCGGTAGCATTAAAGAAGTCTACGGTTCAGACGGCAGTGGCAGATATTAAATGGACCCCTGCAACAGTAACTGAAAATATACCATTTGTACCTGAGAAAAAGCCATCTTCTCCACCTCCTAAATCTTACACACTAAACGAAGCTGATTCTTACGTAATTAGTGTGCTCAATTCTTTGATCGCGAATATCAGAGAGGGAGACAATTGTTTGGTATGTAGTATTTATTATTTCCGATAGTTCTCCTTGATTTTATCCACCTATTTTCAGGCAACTGCACATCGGACCGCAGACATAGAGTCAAAAATATCAAACGAATTGATCCCTCGCCTTTCGAATTCCTCGGTATGTTACTGCATCCTATTCCTTTGATCCAAATCCTGTTGTTTATGCGTATAGCTTGCAAAAAATTAAGTCCAGTGAATCCTCCATCTTTTTACTGCATTGCCACTACTTGTGAGGAATCGGGAGGCTGAAATTTTGTAACGGGAGGTTCATCCTTCAGCTTCATTTATGAGCTGTTTGGTGCAAAAAATCAAAAGAACAACGGTTTGCGGGAAGTTACAGCTGAGATGGCGCAGCAAAAGAACTTTAGTAATAAAAATGTTTGGGAAAACAGTTTATACTTGACTGTCTGTCTTCAGGATTGAGTCCCGTACTTTGAACATAAGGACCCTTAAGGTTAGAAATAAGTAGTTTCTGTAGGATCCATTCTTAAGAAAACGTAATTTGGCAGCATTGCACATTGCTGCTTTATTTTTGATCTCAAAATGACAGCATTTACTAGATCTTCTTAAACATTCCCGTTTAACTTTTTTAAACAACTTTTATTAAGTTTTCGGAGGAGACTCGAGTCTTATTTCAAGAGTTCGCGAGGTATATGGCCGTATACGACTTCCAGTCTTGTCATGGTGTGATTTCAAAACTTGTTGGTGGCAGGGATTTTGTGGAGCTTTCGCCGGTTTTACCTTGTCTACGAACACTGTTACAGTTAGCACAAAAGACGTTCGTTCGCCGTTAAACTTTAATCATCTTTGCCACGTTATCTAGTCATTTAAAAGTCTTCCTAATAAAAATTGCACGTGCCTCATAACCCAATTTTTAAAGTTTTTGGTGCTAGCAGTCTTAATTTTTTAAAAAATGAGTAGTTTAAAATATTCCAAGTAAATTTTCGCTAGATAGAAGAACCGTCGTTTCCCAAAAATCTGCTGTCTTGCTGTCTACTTACAGTGTAGGCGAAGTTGAATTGAAGTGAGTCTTAGTGTGACCAAAATTGTTGAGTAAGAGGCATTTTTATAGAGCGCGAGTCTTGAAATGTTTGTTAGTTGTGGTTGATGAAGGTGTATTAGTAGTGCCATTTCACTGATTTGAGCATAATATTCTTTCAGATTATTTATTTTAATCTTTTAGATGTGGTTCCTTTACGGTTGTGTTTTCTGAAAGCGGGGTTGTTTCTTAGCATCTTTTTTTTTTTTTCTTTCTACTTTTCAGTGCATTGAATCGTGTCGATTTTTTTTGTCACTCTGTTGCCGGTAACTCGGGTCTGTGGAAAATATTTATTACTAATTGTGGTAAATGTTCGGCTTTTTTTGAAAAGTTGTTTCGTTGAGCAAGTTTTTTTGTGTTGCTGACAGACATTACTCAGCATCTGTTTAGTTGTTTTCTAGGAGATCAATACTTACCAGCAGACTTCTAAACGCTTAGCAAACTTCCTCCAGTTACAATGTCAAAAGTAAGCTTCTGTTCTGCCTTGTTGCTGGTGTACATCGTCTGTACTTTCTGTGAATGCGGACATTTGTATTGTGCTAGTTTTGAGGTTGCCCTAATCGACCTAAAGTCTTTGATTTTGTAGATTGTTTTCTTAAATTTATTGCAAAGCTGTTTTGCATTTTGTTAACAGGTATAATTGTTGGCTTTTAGTTGTTGCGGTATGGTTTAATAAAATTTAATTTCGATTTTGGCCACAGGAAGCTTAGCAATATTTCTTTGTCCATTTGGGCTGATGTATTCATTACCTAGTGAGCTTTTCACTTTAAAAAATTACGGAGACTAATAAACTAACGTTCAAACAGCGGGTGAGCTGCCGACTTATCTTCTGCGGGTGTGGTAAACTTTAGTGCTGTAAGCGGCGATTCTTTCTCGAAGAAGAGAAAACCATAAGCCAGACCGCTCGATCCACCGCAAGTTACGGTTCGTCGGTTGTATACATACCTGCACTTTACAAGAGGAAGGTCACCTAAGTCTCATTTGCTAATGTTTAAGGGTGACTCTCTATACTGCTGCTACTCCGTCCACTACTTATCCAAACTCCATATAGAATCCGCTTCTAAAACAAGAAGAAAACCCGATCTGTTCAAGTGTCTCATCGTCCACTTAGCTACCTCCCGAGCTCATAAAAACTGCTTGCATTCAAATGCTTTTATGGGGGAGGGGCAGGGCGATACTCCAGCTAAGTTTTGCAGTTAATGGGACGTGGACCCGATCGGCCATGTGACACAAGTCTTACGTCATGCTCTTGCTCTCCAACTGCTCTCATACAATGTAATTAATTGCAGCGTTTAGCTTTTTAAAAAAAAAAATCTTATAAGACTTTTACAAGAACTTGAACTGGTGCATCATGACCCAATAAACGCTTATTAGTTTGAAAGCATTGCTCCCTTTTTCTAAAAACTTATCATACTTTCCTCCGAAGTTCTCTAACAACAACGCGAAAACAAGTCCTGCTGAGGGTCCGAAAAATAAACTGCTTTCTTTTCAGTAGAAAAAATTTATAGTGTGGAGAACGCCACTATGTTAAGCAAGACTCCAAGCAAAAGAAATTTGAGGAAACAAATTTTACGACGGGATTTAAACCCAAACACAAAATTTCAAGACATTACGCTAACACAGTCCGCAACAAAAAAATCTTAAAAATCAACTTATACAAGTCTCAAGATTGATAATTAGTAAGTTACTTCCATTTCAGATGTACAAATCCGCAACAAATAAATCTAAAATCAACTTATACAAGGTTCAAAATGGTAATTGGTAAGTTACTTCCATTTCAGATGTACAAACACATTGGTGATCTCAAACAAAAGATTTAAAGCAAGCGCAGAAAATAAAATATAAATAAGTCGAAAAATAACTGTCAAAGTTAGACTAATTTATTTTGCTGCTAAAAAGCTCACAATGAATTCTTTTAAAACAAATAAAAGATGGGTGAACGACTATTACAACACCTCCAAGTCTACTCTGGTCCCATTATCTTTAAGTTTTTCAAAAACTCAATAATATTGGTCAGTCAGGACCCTTGCCGTATATTCAAACTCTTAGTTGACTGAAGGTACAACAGACTACTTGATAAAAAATCAGAAAGAAAAGTAATTGAAATTTAAGAGGTGACAAGAAGTGTTTGTGTGCTTGTGTGTGTATGTATGTATGTAGGCATATCTATACGCTAACTTTCTGAAACTTTCAATAGGAACAACACCCTTTTCGTATTCGGAATTGTTTTACAAAAACAATCTTATAACATGCATCTGCACGCTAAACAATAATAAAATTGATTCAACAACCTAAAAATACATTACTCCGTTTTAAAACAAATCTCCACATAAAAAATAAAAAAATATTGAATAAATGCAGCCAGTTTCAAATACGAGCTGAACAATCACTCAAGATAACAAGTTCTTTTTCTGAGACCATTCAAAAGTAGTGTTTTCCCGAACACAACTACATAGTTAAAAAAGAACTAAGAAATTCAATTAATATTTTAAACGACGGTTGAAGTACGCTCAGCTATAAACAAAGCCGAAAACGGGGAGGGACAACTCGCTTTTGGAGTCCCCAATATAATATTGAAAAAATAAAATTCAGCAAAGAGAGGAAAAGCCTGATAGAGCGTACCCTGATAGCCCAACATCGCCTGTCCTGTAGACACGCTATCCGATAAAGGTGACCGTTTCAGGATGAGGAAAACCCTCATACCGCAAAGGCAAGAGTAAACTATCGAATAAGAAAAGCAGCACAGTACCCTTCAAATGCAGCAATTAAACAATAGCACCCCGAATCAACTGTAAAGGATAACTTTGTCAGGCGAAAGTTTTTTGGTATCTTGAGGATTTAGACTCGCTGAAAAGGAATGGAAAAGTAAACAAAGCAATGGTTTTTCGGACTGAGAATTACAAAAACAAACAAGCTTACACGGTAATGACCCAAGGAGAAGAAAGAATAAATACACCTAACTTACTAAACAAGAATATGAACAGTAAAACCCGCAAAACAACAGATGCTTCAAAGAAGGGTAACACGCTAATATAACAATAAGAACTAAAAATGGAAATAATAAAATTAATGATCTACGCCGTAAATCGGTATTGCGGGCAAATAATAAAATTTGAAACTGATGAGATTAGTTAATAACACTTGATTCCTTCTTTTTTGGCAAATAACGATGAAAGCAAGGTGAGCAGCTCGACTTAAAAATTCATAAAATAAAAACAATGACGAGCTTTGTATGTTTCAAGAGTTAGTACTCCGACATCACGCTATCGAATCCAAAGTATTTAGGAATGTGTGTGTGATATCTTCTGACCTATAAAAAAGACCCGACTACTTAGCTGCTAGACAGGAATGTAATAAAAAGGTGATTTCAGAGGTGTTCAACATACCGTTAGATGACGTACTAATACTACTGGAACATCCATCTGGTGGTCTCGGTAACCGTCTCTTCAACCAGGGATGTTTCAAAGCCTGCTGAGGCGTCATTCTCGAATCAGGATCCCATTCTAGGCAGCGTTTCAAAAAATCAATGAATAATTCATCGCCCTACAAAAAGAAAATGTAGATTTCGCTTTTTTTTT